AAGAGCGGGGGGGGGGGGTAGAGGGAAACGGGGGGACAAGGACACATATGTAATATCTTAATCAATAAAAAATATATTAAAAAAAATTTCAACAAAACTAAATTCCTGAGTAGGTAGAAAAGCAAACACTTACCCCATCCAATTAAAGAAATGTAAAGAGTGAACCGTTGAGGAAGAGGCTTCATGGTCCTAATCAGAAGGAAGTAGAGCTGCACTGCACTGACTCCAGTCCAGGTAAACATCACTAACAGGAAATAGTGCAGCAAGGCAGCAACCACCGTGCACTTGGGATTCGAAAAATCAATAGTGTCTCCTTTGAGAATTGTATTTTCTTTAGGAGCTTTGGTCTCTTGTTTCTTATTGGTATTTTCAATTCCAAACACAAAGAGGAGGTTGAAAATCAACATTGATGTGCACAGACTGACCAACACCCAGGTTACTGAGGTTTTTCTGACTTTCCTGAAAATAAATTGGTAAATGTAATTAAATAAATAAACAAAATAAGTGCAAAACATAAATTCAAGTGAAATCATGGGTGAACAGCAGAATGCTATTATCCAATGTAAATCCAGCGCATAGCCTAGTGGGCCAGCTGGTAAACCTACCTTCCCTACTACATCAGAAAACCATACTCCCGTCTTATCTCATTTCCACAAGGAAGTGAGTTATAAAAAACAGGCTAATACAGTGGGGCCTTGACTTACAAGTGTCCCGACTAAGGAGTTTTTTGAGATACCAGCTGTCTCTTGGCCCATTTTTTTGCTTTGAGTTGACAGAGTAATTTGAGTTAACGAGCTCCTTAATGAGCTCTTTAACGAGCTCGGTCTCGGAAGGAATTAAACTCGTAAATCAAGGCCCACTGTATATCCTTTCTTGAAACTGTGTTCTAATCAAAGGTGATAGCCATTCTCCAGAGATGGCCCAAATGAATTCTACTTCCCATTATGTATGACTGGCATGTTCACCTCCAGCACTGGCCTGTGACTTGTTTTAATTAACAGAGTGCAGCAGAAGGCCTGGGAGCCAGGGCCAACTTGTCCGTTAGATTCAGGAGTGTTTAGGGCCCCCAGTACATTTGTGGCCCACAGCAATGTTTCAACCCCTTTCAATCCAAAACAAACAAACAAAAATGAACTTTCATGTTAGAAAAATGTAGCATATAATATTAATACATTCATCTTTATACCAGTGCTGTCATAAAACATAATTTTTATCCTTTTTTATGGAGGGCAATCTCAGAAAGGCAAAAGTGCCTAGGACACACCAAAGTCAAAACAAGCTTTCCTTTTGTGCTCCTGTGCGTTCTGAGCCACGATGTAAAATTCCAGCTACCCTGCAAAGGAACCTCATGGAAATGCTCTGAGACTATGTGAAGAGAGAGGCCAGGCTGCTGCTGCATCCCAGCTGAGCCTCCTGATGATCCAACCCCAGCCACCAGGTGACTGAAGTCTCATGGGAGACACTGAGACCTTTGGTAGAACGTCCAGCTGAGCCTCGTCAAGTCACAGAATCATTAGAGATAATAAATTGTTCTTTCAAGAGAGTAAGTTTTAGGGCGGCCTTTTTATACTGCAGTAGACCATAACTTCTCTAGATTTGCAAGGACATACAAAGGCTATCTATAGAAAGGTTCTAAAAGGATTTTTCAGATTTTCAAAATAGGAAATTATTGCACATTCTAGATCAGTGATGGCGAACCTTTTGAACTCAGCGTGTCAGCATTTTTAAAAATCCTAACTTAACTCTGGTGCCATGTCACATATAGAAATTTTTTGATATTTGCAACCATAGTAAAACAAAGACTTATATTTTTAATATCTATTTTATATATTTAAATGCCATTTAACAAAGAAAAATCAACCAAAAAAATGAG